AAAAATTTATATTTTTATTTTTAAAGGGAAAAAGAGTGGGCATTTTGTATGCCATAAGAAAGGCACCCTGGCCTACGCCTTTTGATGTGGGTCATGAGATTGTTTGTGTTATTTTGTTTTAGTTTTGAGACAGAGTTTTACTTTGTCACCTGGGCTGGAGTGCAGTGGTGCAATCTCAGCTCCCTGCAACCTCTGGCTCCTGGGCTCAGGCAATTCTCCTGCCTCAGCCTCCCGAGTAGCTGGGATTACAGGCATGAGCCACGGTGCCCAGCCTGTTTGTTTTTTGGGTTTTTATTTGAGACAGGGTCCAACTCTGTTGCCCAGGCTGGAGTGCAGTGGTGTGATCTCGGCTTACTGGAACCTCTGTCCCCCAGGCTCAAGCCATCCTCCCATCTCAGCCTCCCAAGTAGCTGGGACTACAGGTGTGCGCCACTATACCCGGCTAATTTTTGTATTTTTTTCAGGTCTCACTTTGTTGCCCAGGATGCTGGTTTTGAACTCCTGAGCTCAAGCTATCGGCCGGCGTTGGCCTCCCAAAGTGCTGGGATTACAGGTGTGAGTCACCACGCCCAGCCATAGAATTTCTTTACTTTTTGGCCATGTGTAGTGGCTCACGCCTGTAATCCGAACAGTTTAGGAGGCCAAGGTGAGCGGATCACTTGAGATCGGGAGTTGAAGACGAGCTTGGCCAGCTTGGTGAAACCCTGTCTTTACTAAAAGTACAAAAATTACCCAGGCAGGCGGGATGTGGTGGCTCACACCTGTAATACCAGCACTTTGGGAGGCTGAGGCGGGCGGATCACCTGAGGTCAGAAGTTGGAGATCAGACTGACTGGAAGAACCCTGTCTCTACTCAAAATACAAAATTACCTGGGTGTGGTGGCGCATGCCTGTAATCCCAGCTACTCGGCAGGCTGAGGCAGGAGAATGGCTTGAACCTGAGAGGCTGAGGTTGCGGTGAGCTGAGATCGTGCAATTGCACTCAGCCTGGGCAACAAGAGTGAAATGCTGTCTTAAAAAAAAAAAAAAAATTAGCCAGGTATGGTGGCAGGCACCTGTGATCCAGCTCCTCAGGAGGTTGCGATGTGAGAATCCCTTGAACTTTGGAGGTGGAGGTTGCAGTGAGCTGAGTTCGTGCCACTGCACTCCAGTGGGGGCAACAGAGTGAGAATCTGTCTCAAAAAGAAAAGGTTTCTTTACTTTTTAATAGAAATGGGGTTTCACCATGTTGGCCAAAAGAAAAAAAAGGAATAATGTATTATATAATAGACCACATTTTGTTTATTGATTCCTCTGTGGATGGACAGTCAGGTTAATGGACAGTCGGCTATTGAGAATAATGCTATGAACAGGGTATACAGATACCTCCGAGAGGCCCTGCTTTCAATTCTTTTGGCTATATACCCAGAAGTGGAATTTCTGATCATGTAATAGTTCTATTTTTAGTTTTTCAAGGAACCACCATGCTGTTTTTCACAGCAGCTGCGTTATTTTCCATTTCCACCAACAATGTGCAAGGCTTCCAGCTTCTCTGCATCCTGGCCAACACTGATTGTTTTCTGTGTTTTTGACGGTAGCCACCCAGATGGACGCAAGGTGTATCTCATTGTGGTTTTCAGTGTGCAGTTTCCTAATGATTAGTGATATTGAGCAGGTCTCACGTTTCTCTGGGACATTTATATATGGGTCACAAGTTCTGGATTAGGCAGTGCTATACCGTGATGCTATACTTAGTTGTAGGAAAAGTGTGTAATGGGGTAAAATGCTATGTTTTAAATCTCTAGAGATGGAAAGCAGAGCTGGGAGTGGTGGCTCATGCCTGTAATCCCAGCACTTTGAGATTCTGAGGCTGGTAGACCACCTGAGGTTAAGAGTTTGAGACCAGCCTGATCAACATGGTGAAACCCCATTTCTACCAACAGTACAAAAAATTAGCTGGGCGTGGTGTCACATACCTGTAATTCCAGCTACCCGGGAAGCTAAGGCAGGAGAATCACTTGAACCTGGGAAGTGGAGGTTGCAGTGAGCCATTGCTCTCCAGCATGGGCGACAGAGCAAAACTCTGTCTCAAAAAATAAAATTTAAAAAAAGAGACTAAAAGTAGATTGGTGGTTGCCTGGGGCTGGGGCAAAATGAGAGTGAGTACTAATGCGTAGGGGTCTCTTTTGGAAATAGTGAAATGTAGTGAATTAGATGGTGGTGGTGATGGTTATGTAATTCTAGAAACAGACTAAAAACCACTGAATTGTCTACTTTAGATGGGTGAATTTTATGTTCTATTATGTCTCAATAAGGTTGTTTTAATATGCTGTTTTTTGAAAATAGACCTAAAACAGTAGTAGGGATGGCAGCAAAGGTTGCCACTTCATTGGCCAACTTTATCCATTAGGAGGGAATGCTACACATTTTTGGTGAATTTGCAGCGGAGAGATTCTCTCCATGGAAAATCTGGAGGAGTGCCCCCTTGCAAGCTCACTTCCTGGCCTAGTGAGAAAGATCACTGACTAATAAAGCTAGAGGAAAGAAGGCAATGATTTAGGGTTAGAGGTGCTAGAAACATACTTTAGTAGAGTTTGGGGTGGAGGGTGTCAAGGCCCCTTTCCAACAGTGACACACCAGAGGCCTCAGGTGTTACCAAAGAGAACATTGCCCCTCCACACCCCCCTCTGTCCTTTTCAAAATGAGGAAATGGACGGGCGCGGTGGCTCATGCCTGTAATCCCAGCACTTTGAGAGACCAAGGCGGGTGGATCATGTGAGGCCATGAGTTCAAGACCAGCCTGGCCAACGTGGCAAAACCCCATCTCTACTAAAAATACAAACTTAGCTGGGCACGGTGGTGTGTACCTGTAGTCCCAGCTACTTGGGAGACTGAGGCACGAGAATCACTTGAACCCAGGAGATGGAGGTTGCAGTGAGCCAAGATCATACCACTGCACTCCAGCCTGGGTGACAGAGCGAGACTGTTTCAAAACAAACAGGCCGGGCACAGTGGCTCACGCCTGTAATCCCAGCACTTCGGGAGGCCAAGGCAGGCGGATCACGAGGTCAGGAGTTTGAGACCAGCCTGGCCAATATGGTGAGACCCCATTTCTACTAAAAATACAAAAATTAACTGGGTGTGGTGGCACATACCTGCAGTCCCAGCTACTTGGGAGGCTGAGGCAGAAGAGTCACTTGAACCCGGGAGGTGGAGGTTGCAATGAGCTGAGATCGCCCCACTCCACTCCAGTCTGGTGACAGAACGAGACTCTGTCTCAAAACAAACACCCAAAAAACAAAATGAGGAAATAGATCCAGGGAGAGGACATGACTGGCCCCAGGTGCATTTAGTAGCCAATTAGTAGCAGAGCCAGAGCTGCTCGTTTGCTTGCATGGGCAGCTTCATGCAAGCTCCACACAGCCAATCTAGCCCAGCCAACAGCCTCTGTGCCCAGAGCATTAGTTGCTGAGGAGGATCGGGGATGGTGGATACCAACTGCAGCCCTCTCCAGAGAGCCTCCGTCCACGTGCACTGCAAATGTCTGACTTTCTCCACATGTGGCTCCGGCGGCTTTGGTTGGAGCAGCCTTCTCTCCTGTTTGCGCTCAGCTGCAACCCCCTTCCTGCACCATCTGGAACTTGGATAGGGCTCTCCATCACTTTGCCCACCCGCTCCGCCATGTTCTGCTGCGTGTGGGCCCACACCAACGCAGATCTCCTAAGTACAGAGAGTTCTCCTTTTATTTATTTTAGATTGCTCAGGGAGGAAAAAATGTTGCTTCTCAAGCTTCAGAATCTTTGCACATAAGCAGTGACAATTAAGAACAAATTTGCAAACTCTTCCCCTTGGTCTGAACTACAGTGCATTCCTCCTCTTGCTACACACAGTCCCTGGCCCAGATCTGTATCAGGACAAGGTCAGTGGTTTAAAGGAGTTGGATCCCTGGGCTCCAAGGGGGGTGATTCTGTCCCCTCATCCTCATAGCCTGCTCCTCTGCCACAGCCCTGATCTTATTCTCTGAGGCCAGGAGTCCTAGAGAGCTCTCTGCAGTCTTGGAAGTCTGGCCTGTCAGTCCTTGTGCAAAGGGAAGATGCTCCACCCCTCTCTTCTCCAAACCCGTCTTTTTTTTTTTTTTTTTTTTTTTTTTGAGACAGAGTCTTGCTCTGTTGCCCAGGCTGGAGTGCAGTGGCGCAGTCTCAGGTCACTGCAACCTCCAAGTCCCGGGTTCAAGCAATCCTCCCACCTCAGCCTCCTGAGTAGCTGGGACTACAGGTGTGTGCCACCACACCTGGCTGACTTTTGTATTTTTTTTTTTTTGAGACGGAGTTTCGCTCTTGTTACCCAGGCTGGAGTGCAATGGCGCAATCTCGGCTCACCGCAACCTCCGCCTCCTGGGTTCAGGCAATTCTCCTGCCTCAGCCTCCTGAGTAGCTGGGATTACAGGCACGTGCCACCATGCCTAGCTATTTTTTTTTTGTAGTTTTAGTAGAGACGGGGTTTCACCATGTTGACCAGGATGGTCTCGATCTCTTGACCTCGTGATCCACCCGCCTCGGCCTCCCAAAGTGCTGGGATTACAGGCTTGAGCCACCGCGCCCGGCGACTTTTGTATTTTTAATAGAGACAGAGTTTTACCACCCTTGCCAGGCTGGTCCTGAACTCCTGACCCCAAGTGATTTGCCCACCTCGGCCTCCCAAAGTGCTGGGACTGCAGGTGTGAGCCACTGCGCCCAGCCCAACCCCACCTTCTTTTCCTCTCCTTTCCTCTCTCTCTCTCTCTCTCTCTCTCTCTCTTTGAGACAGGGTTTTGCTTTGACACCCAGGCTGGAGTGCAGTGGTGCAATCATAGCTCACTGTAGCCTTGACCTCCTGGATTCAAGTATTCCCCCCAGCTCAGCCTCCTGAGTAGCTGGACTACAGGTGCAAGATGTCCAAGTAATTTTTTGTTCATTTTTTGTGGAGATAGGGGTCTCACTGTGTTTCCCAGGCTGGCATCTTCTTTTCATCCCAGATTTTCTCACCCATGTGACCAAACATCATCCGGTTACTATCCATGGGTAATGCTGTCTCAAAGACGTGACTGTTTTCTGCATGCAGCTCTGATGATACAGTTGGCTCGTTCATTTCATTTGGAATACAAACCATCTGGGAATGTCTCGGACCAGAAACCAGCTTGAGAAGTCAGGCTGTTCCCAGGTGGGAATCTCTTTCTCTTTATTTGACTCGTGAAGGTGGCAAGGAAAAGGTTTTGTTGCCTCTTGGTGCAGGGTGTGACGGGGGAGCAGTGCACACAGAGGTGCCCCTGGTAGTGGCACTGGCATTTGAAGCGAGAGAAATTCCAGGCAAAGGTGTCACCCAGGAGAAACAGGGGCAGAGGTGCTCAGCCCAGTATTTCTTTTTACCTGGAGCTTCTCTTTATGACGAGAACATAGCTTCAGGTTATGTAGAAAGGGTGTCCCTAGTCCCTAGAGCCTTCCCTGTCTTTGCCGTGAACCTTCCTGCCCTGGCTGTTTTATCTGCTTTTGTTTTTGGAGATGGAGTCTCACTCTATCGTTCAGGCTGGAGTGCAGCGGTGTGACCTCGGCTCACTGCAACCTCTGCCTCCCAGGGTCAAGCAATTCTCCTGTCTCAACCTCCCGAGTAGCTGGGATTACACGCGCATGCCACCAAGCTAATTTTTGTACTTTTAGTAGAGATGGGGTTTCACCATGTTGGCGATGCTGGCCTCGAACTCCTGATCTCAGGTGATCCGTCCACCTGGGCCTCCCAAACTGCCGGGATGACAGGTGTGAGTCACCACACCTGGCCAGCTTTTTTCTTTGACCAAGAAGGGGGCCCCAGAAGCCACTATGCAGCAGTTGTCTGCAGTTGGTAATCAGGAACCACTTACCCCAGCCTCTGGCCCCTGTTCTGGTCATACCCAAGTAGTCCATAGTTCCCCAAACCTCCTCTAGTCTCCATTTGGTAAACATGGGTTCAAGGTCCAAGATTTTGCCTCTACAAAAAACAAAAATAAAAAAATTAGCCGGGCACACGTTCCTGTAGGCCTATCTACTCAGGAGGCTGAGGTGGGAGGATTGCTTGAGCCCAGAAGTTCAAGGTTGCTGTGAGCTGTGGTCATTGCACTGTGCTCCAGCTTGGGTGATAGAGTGAGACTGTCTCAAAAAAAGAAAAAATTATGGTTCCATCTGATTGCATTCCCTTTTCTCTCTCACCTCTTTGCTCAGCTGAGTAAGACGTGTTGTACCGCAACACTCTGTCATCTGGGAAGCTGGATGCGTTGGCTCTTCTGGGCCGCGTTTTCCTTTGCCTACCTTCATCAAGCTTTTATCTCTTAGCTGGGTGTGGTGTCAGGCACGTGTAGTCCCAGCTGCTCAGGAGGCTGACACAGGAGAATTGCTTGAACCCAGGAGGCAGAGGTTGCAGTGAGCCTGAGTCAGGAGAATTGCTTGAACCCAAGAGGTGGCGGTTGTAGTGTGCCAAGATCGTGCCACTGCACTCCAGCCTGGGCAACAGAGTGAGACTCTGTCTCAAAAAAAAGCTTTTAAAAAAAATTATTATACTTTAAGTTCTGGGATACATGTGCAGAATGTGCAGGCTTGTTATATAGGTATACATATGCCATGGTGGTTTACTGCACCCATGAACCCGTCGTCTACATTAGGTATTTATCTGAATGCTCCCCCTCCTCTTGTCCCCCACACCCCTACAGGCTCCAGTATGTGATGTTCCCCTCACTGTGTCCATGTATTCTTGTTGTGCAACTCCCACTTATGAGTAAGAAGATGCGGTGTTTGGTTTTCTGTTCCTGTGTCAGTTTGCTGAGAATGATGGTTTCCAGCTTCATCCATGTCCCTGCAAAGGAAATGAACTTATTCTTTTTTATGGCTGCCTAGTATTCCATGGTGTATATGTGCCACATTTTCTTTATCCAGTCTATCATTGATGGGCATTTGGGTTGGTTCCAAGTCTTTGCTGTTGTGAATAGGTGCTGCAAGAAACATGTGTGCAGGTGTCTTTATAGCAGAATGATTTATAATCCTTTGGGTATATACCCAGTAATGGGATTACTGGGTCTAATGGTATTTCTTGTTCTAGATCCTTGAGGAATCGCCACACCGTCTTCCACAATGGTTGAACTAATTTACACTTCCACCAACAGTGTAAACGCGTTCCTATTTCTCCACATCCTCTCTAGCATCTGTTGTTTCCTGACTTTTTAATGATTGCCATTCTAACTGGTGTGAGACAGTATCTCGCTGTGGTTTTGATTTGCGTTTCTCTAATGACCGATGATGATGAGCTTAAAAAAAAGCTTTTATCTCCTTGTGTTGCAACTACCTGTGGACATGTCTGTGTTCCCCCCTAGACTCTGCGCTCTCTGAGGGCAGGGGTGTTGATAAGAACCATGGTCTTAGCTCCATTCCTGTCACTTGCTGGGTGAATGAATGAATGGAGTTGTGGTGGATGCACCTACATTTGGCAAACATGCATGGGCATTCCAGCCCTTTCTGATGAAATGAAATCTCTGGAGGGAAATGTATGTACCTGAGGTATGGAGGAGGGGACTGTGTACAGGAGATGTGTGAATTGAATTTCCACTAATTCTGCAGGGTAATAGTTCCCACTGCTGCTGTTAATAAGTTATACAAATGTGGTGGCTGAAAACAAAACACAAGGGCGGGCGTGGTGGCTCACACCTGTCATCTCAGCACTTTGGAAGGCCCAGGCGGGTGGATCACGTGAGGTCAGGAGTTCCAGACCAGCCTGGCCAACATGGTAAAACCACGTCTCTACTAAAAATACAAAAATTTCCCGGGCATGTCGGAGGGCGCCTGTGCTGCCAGCTACTCAGGAGGCTGAGGCAGGAGAATCTCTTGAACCTGGGACACAGAGGTTGCGGTGAGCCGAAATCACACCACTGCACTCCAGCCTGGGCCACAGAGCAAGACTCCGTCTCAAACAACAATAGCAGCAACAACAACAACAAAAACCCACACATTCGTTTATTATTCTGCAGTCCTGAAGCTCAGAAGTCTGAAGTGAGTCTTATGAGGTTAAAATCAAGGTGTTTGAAGATCTGTTCTCCTTCTGGAGGCTTCAGAGAGAATCATTCTCCTTGCCTTTGCAACTTCTAGGGTCTGCCTGCATTTCTTGGCTCATGGCCCCTTCCTCAGACGGCTCCAGTCTCTTGCTGGTACTCACTCTGCTTATTTGCCTCCCACTTGTCAGGGTCCTTGTGATTAAATTGGGCCCACTTGAATAACGCAGGCTAATCTCAAGATCCTTCATCACATCTGCAAAGTCCCTTTGACCATATAAGATGATGTCTTCACAGGTTTTGGGGACTGGGAGTTGGACATCTCTGAGGAGGCCATTGTCCAGGTTACCACGTTCAGAAAGCTCCTGCCATGGCTTCTTATTTTATTTTTTTAGACAGAGTCTTGCTTTGTCACCCAGGATGGAGTGCAGTGGCATGATTTTGGCTCACTGCAACGTCCACCTCCTGGGTTCAAGTGATTCTCCTGCCTCAGCCTCTCAAGTAGCTGGCATTACAGGTGCTCACCACCATGCCTGGCTAATATTTTGTATTTTTTTTTTAGTAGAGATGGAGTTTTACCATGTTGGCCAGGCTTGTCTTGAACTCCCAACCTTAGGTTACCTGCCCACCTAGGCCTGCCAAAGTGCTGGGATTACAGATGTGAGGTATCGTCCCCAGCCCTGCCATGCCTGCTTATCTGTACGTGTCTAAATTCTTCCCATCATTTAAGACCTCTACTGCCTCCTCCAGGAAGTCTTCCTTGAGTCCCTCCATCTGGATGCTCCTCAGTCTTGGTTCCTGCTGCCGCCCTTGACCGTGAGCATGTCTGTGTCAAACAGAGGCCCCTCCTTGGTCTGGGCACATTTCTACTTCTGCTCTTTTACTCTGAGAGCCCTCTTTTTCCCTGGAAAGTCCCCAGTTTGACCCCAGTCTGTCTTCTTTCTTCTACAAAACTCTTATCCACCCCAATCTTACATAGGTGTCATAGGTTGGCAGAGCTGTGACGTTCCTCCATTTTTTTTTTTTTTGAGATGTAGTCTCACTCTGTCACCCACGCTGGAGTGCAGTGGCTCGATCTTGGCTCACTGCAACTTCTGCCTCCCATGTTCAAGTGATTCTCCTGCCTCAGCCTCCTGAATAACTGGGGTTACAGGCATGTACCACCATGTCCTGCTAATTTTTGTATTTTTAGTAGAGATGGGATTTCACCATGTTGGCCAGGCTGGTCTCGAACCCCAGACCTCATGATTCGCCCAACTCGACTTTCCAAAGTGCTAGGATTACGAGAGTGAGCCACAGTGCCTGGCCGATTTGGCTGTTTTTAACCTACATCATGCTAAGTGTCTTTGGGCAAGGAGACAGAGTATTCATTGCTCAGGTGTCCTGACCTGGTGGCCTTGGCCTGAGGTCTCCTTCCCAGTGCTGGATGCGCTGTGCACCACCAAACTTCACATTCCTTGCTGCTCTCAGACACCGCCTGCCTTCTGGCTGAAAACAAATGGTTTCTGAAATGTGAAATCGGATGTCAATTTACTGATTAACAGTGAGAAATAGAACCGCCAGGCTCACCAGATATCATCTGTCTCATGCAGCAGGAAAATCTACCCCGGAGGGCAACTTGCCATGACGAAGTTGCTTGGTAAGCGACTCCCAGGGCGTGAGCTCAGATTCAGGGGCCTGTGAAGGGATGGGCCAGCCCAAAGCTGACAGGCTGCAGCCCCACAGGGCCCCTTCTTCAGCAAGGAGGATAGGGTGACAGCTGGGTCGTCTCTGCAGGATAGAGTGTACCCTGCCGCAGGTCATGAGGACTGACTGGTGAGCATGCCAGATAGTTGCAGTGCTGTGGTGTGATCCTGGGCACAGCTTGGTCCCTATGGAGAGGAATTTGCTGCAACCTACTGGGGATACCTGTGGTGTTTAGTGGGCGATTTTCCACCCCTGAAATAGCACATGCTGGCCTTCCTTTTCTCCCTGTCTCCCTTCCTTTCTGCCTGTGTTGTTTTTATTCCTTTCATTTCAGGGGCTCTTTTTTTTTTTTTTTTTATTGTAGTTTACTTACCATATAATCAATATTATGTATTCTTAATTTTTATTTGTTATTTTATTTTTATTTTTATTTTTTTGAGATGGCATCTCACTCTGTGACCCAGGCTGG